TCACTGCTGCAGATTTTCATGACTCTCTCTCCCCAGTACCCCTTTCAGTTGCCTTGCTGCAATTAACCTGGTGCTGTCTACTGTCACATCATCATTTAAAAACAAAATAACAAATTCATGATGAGAGAAGCAAACTGACATCTAGTATATAAACGTGTGTCCTTCTCGAAGGGAAGAAATGACTCCTACCAGGGCAGGATTCCCTTCCCTGTCCACTTCAGCCTGTTATCAGTTAACATTTTTATTTATGACCTCAAAGTAAATAGCACAATATTGCTGATAATTTGCAGATGACACAAGATTGGTGGAGTGGTAAATAATGAGGAGGACAAGGCAGTCGTACAGAACAATCTGGATCACTAGATAAGATGAACCCCTTCAACTAAAATATGTTTGCCCACAATCAAAGACAAAGTCATACAGCTAGGAACAAAAGAATGGCTAATGCTGTCCTTGGGTGTATAAACAGGGGACTAGTGAATAGGATGAGGGAAATGATTTACCTCTGTATATGAGACTGATATTGGAATACTGCATCCCTTTCTGGGGTCCACATTTTTAAAAAGGTTCAAAAGGGTGCAAAAAAGAGCAGCAAAATGATTTTAAAGTTTGAGAAAATGTCTTAAAGAGCTTAACTGAATGTCTTAAATGTCTTAAAGAACTGAAATCTGTTCAGTTTATGTAAAGGACTATTGCAATTACATGATTACAATGTACAAGTACCTTCAATAGAAGAAAATGTCAGATATTAAGTGGCATTTTAATGTTATAGCAAAAGGCATAACAAGAACCAACAGCTAAAAATTGAAGCCAGACCAATTCAAGTTAGAAATAAGGCACATATTTTAACCGTGATGCTTATTGTACCACACTATGTAAGGGCAGTGATGGATACTCCATCTCTTGATGCCTCAAGTCAAAACTGAAACCTTTCTGAAAGATAGGTGTTTTTTTCTTTTCTATGTAGATTCTTCTACCGCCCTCCCAGAGTGCCTTTCTATACTTCAGTTAATGTGCTTAGTCAAACATACACTATTGGGCTCAATGAAAGGGTATGTGGATTCAATGGCCTTTGATAAACAGGTCAGATTAGAGTTGAAATGTATTAATCTATTAATTATCATTCATTTTATCTGTCTTATTTAGACTAGAAACTCCTGTATGCAGAGTTTTTGTGTCCTTACTTCTCTCCTTTTCTTACTAAAGCACCATGCATATTTATAGGCTACTCCTTGGGACCGTGTGTACCTAATCACATCAATCCTAAGAGTGTTAACTGTGCTTTGCAGGCTGAGGAAGCCCCATTCCTCTGCCCCTGCTGCATTTGCTCAGCCTAGGGACACAGAGGCGTAGTCAGGGCATTATGTGCCCGGGAGCAAAGGCAAAATTTGTGCCACCCCCCCCACTGGTGGGGCTCCAAACCTGGCGCACAGCTGAGCCCGACCCTGGGAGGAGAGGGGGGAGCTTGTACCGCGTCTTCCCCTGCCCCCTCCAGTCTGGGGCTGGGCCCCCGCATGCACTAACCCACCGGCGGAGATAGAGGAGGGTTGGGCTGGGGGAAGAGAGGTGGGGAGCAAGCTCCAGCCGGCAGCAGCAGGAGGAGGAGCAGGTGAGCTGAGGGATGACAGGGGGAGCAGAGAGGGACTAAATTGGTGCCCCCCCCTAGAGTGGCGCCTGAGGGCAAGTGCCCCCCTGCCCTCCCTCACTATGCCACTGAAGAGGCAGGGTTTGAAAGGAAGCAGCCCAACTCAGTCTAGGCAAACTGTGAAGGGGGAGGATGCAGATTCTCTCCAGGGAGCTGTTATAGGCCCTGGTTATGGCACCACAGCACACAGCGCTCCAGATGGGCTCTGTGCTGCCTGGTGAGCCTGGAGAAGGGTTTGCACCAGCAGTATCTACATCACTTGAGGACCCCAGAGACCTGGAGGATAAGTGAGGGTTGTGGAGCTTGCTGAGGGAGAAAGTCTAGAAAGCAGCTCAGGGGACTAGTATTGTCTGGTGAATGAACCAGGGAACCAGTCAGTGTGTTCTGGGAGGATCCCTGCTGATTTGGTGGTAAGAACCCGCATCACTGCCAGAGCTCTGGGCTGGCTTTGGAGGAGCAGGAAGGACCCAAGTCCCCTACCAAGGGGGCCACACACCCTGAAGTGATGCCCCACTTCCCAAATGGGCCATTCGGAGATGCAATCCCACAGAGTGGGCTACTTTATTGACTGGCCATTAGGCCATTCCTTAAGCAGAAGGGTCACACTTATTGAGTCTGGCCATTAGGCTGTAATACAGGTTGGACCTCCTTGGTCCAGCACCCTCGGGACCTGGCTGGTCCCAGATGAGGGATTTTGCTGGAGCAGGGAAGGTTATTTCTGGGCCCACCCCTGTCACTGCCACCTCCCCCATCCATGGCCTTGCTGCCAGCTTCCCAGATGGCTTCACCTGCCACCAGCCCCTCCGCACGCAGGGCTCCTGACCCCACCACTGGCACGAATAGCCCCACTACCAGGCTCCATTCCCGTGGGGCAAACTCTCTACTGGGGGGTAGTTGCACTGCTGAGTGACAAGCCTCTCTTGGGCAGCCCCACTGGCTGGGCAAGCCCCACTGCCTTCCGGCCTCACCAGGCAACTCCTCCGAGCAGCAGTGGGGCTGCCGGGCTTTTTGCCGTGCCGTTGGGCAGCCCCACTCCTGGGTTGCTGGCCCTGACTCCAGGCAGCCCCGAGGTGAGGCTCCTGGCCCTGCAGGGCAGCTGCGCTGCCTCCCAGTCACTCCAGGCAGCTGAGCCACTTGGCAGTAGCAAGGCTGCTGGGTTCCTGGTTGTGCTGCTGGTTGGTCCCGCTGCCTCCCGGTCTCGCAGGGCAGTTTCACTGCTTGGCTCCAGCTCTGCTGCCTCTCATACCCCACTCCCACAGTGTTGGTACCAGGCAGCACCCCTAGTAATGGGCTCCCGGTTTGCCACTGGGCTCTAGCCCTGCTGCAGGGCTCTCACCCACCAGCCCTCCACCAGGATTCTCTAGTCCTGGGACATCCATGGTCCTGCCAGACCAGGGATGTTGCTGGACCAGAGAGTCCCGGTTAAGTCCTGGTTAAGATAAAACCTGTATCATGTTTTATAGTCAAGAGTCAAGAACACAGGGCCTAACTAGCTTCTAAACTTAAAAAACAACAAATAGACAACCCACTTCTTCTGGGTTGTGCCCACGAAAGCTCATGATGCCATCTACATGTTTTGTTAGTCTTAAAGGTGCTACCAGACTATTTGTTGTTTTTTAAGTTTTTCCTGTTACAGATTAACTTGGCTACTCCTCTGTAGCTTCTATACAGTTTTTCACACCCTTCTTACCAGTGGTTACCCAGCACATGGGATGGAGTGTACCTACAATCCCAAAGGAAAAACAGTCACACAAGAGAAGTGAACAACAGAAAGTGCTGGATGTAGCTACTTTTTCTCATTATGTTCTACTCACTACCAGCTCTTGGTCTGGCAAAGACAGGGCAGCATCTTTGCCTTTGTTCTTTGCATTATTCCGGCACAACTGGTGGGATGAGTGGCGGGTTGTTGTCCGAGAGGAAGGTGGGATGAGACGCCCAGTTTCTGCTGAGTATTGTGTTGTTCTCCGGGGCTCTTCCACCTGTTAAAATGCAAATGCATACACGCTTTCTGAGGAGACCCCCTGAGAGTGGTACAGGGGTAGCACAGGCGATAAAATGATTAGAACAAGGCTGAGTGTAAAAAGGCTGTGACAAAAGAGGAAATGTTCACATCACATGAACAAAGAGGTGCTTGGATGTTACAAAAAATAACATCTGCTGCTGTTAAAGTGAAGCTACTTTAGAATACCAAAAGGTCACCTTGAGAGGTGAGTTTCTCTCTAAACGTGATATGTGCACTGGTTTTGCCAACCATTTGTTACTGAAGATTGAAACTTGTGGGCCACCTACTGTTGTGAGTCATAAGAAACACAGATCTGAACATACAAAATCTAAATCTGCACCTAAACCCAAAGCTATCTTTATGCAGCTATAATCCTGTATAATGCTGAGACTCCCAGACCCAAGTATTAAAGAATATTAATACGGGCTGCTGAATTTGGTGATCTTGAAAGTGATTGATTGGTTGATAGCACTCACTTGAGCTGATACAGTGCATGCAGGGATTGTGTAAACTTCCTGTACTGAGGGCTACATATTCATCTCAGGCCTGATCTGTAATACACATTGGTGTCCCAGCTCTGGCTCCCCACAGCACTGCCAATATCCTTCAATCTTGATCTAAAGCACCTCTGCTCTGTCCGGCTATGTATGATCTTTCACATTTGGCCAGGTCTACACTAGGGAGCAATGTGAATAGCATACCTGGAGTCAACGTACCTTAGTTCAAATTTCTGCAGCATCCTCACTGTGGACAATCCATGGGAGAAACTCCCACATTGACTTCCCTTTCTCCTCATGACACAGGGGAATACCGGAGTCCACGGGAGCACAGTCAGTGGTCAATTTAGTGGGTAATTACTAGACCCGCTAAATCAACCTTTGGGAGACTGATCGCTGCAACGTCTATCTCCTAGTAAGTGGAGATAAGGCCTTTCACACAGTTTTGCTCCTTAACCCTGATCCTCCCACCACTGAAGATTAACCATTGTCCTATTGTGCAATTGTTTTGTGATGTATTTCTACAAGAGTTTGAAACCAATTTCATTTGTACTCTATCTTTACAAAACAGATTTCCACGCGACCCTTCAAGTCCTGATGCTGTCATCAACAGATGTGGATGCATGACCCACAATTGTGATACAGCAGCCTCTCTGCAGGTTTTTTTGCTCCCTCCCCTCCATTTCTTTAACTTCAGGTGTTAGTTAGATGATACTCAATAGCAAAGCAGCCCTAAGAGTCATGCTCACAGTATGAAAGACTCACCTGCTCCTTTTGCTCCATTTCAGTGGAGGAGGAAGCCAAAGCACTAACTCTGGCAGTGAGTTCCCTCAGTTCTTCTCTCCATGCATCTGACAACAGGCCTGTGAAAGGTGTGAGAAAGCTCAGTAAAGAAGCACCACTTAGTTTCTACTGCACTTACAAATCCTGCATGTGTCTGAACACAGACTGCACCTTGAATTCCTCCCGCTATGTATTTGTGATTTCCTATTTTCACTGTGTAAGGGAATTTGCACATCTCATCCTGAGGCCAACAGTTGTCCTGTAGAGCTTGGATGGAAGTGAGATGCAAATAAATGGTAACAACCCTTGGATACACTGCAAGGTATTATGGGATATACTATATCTTGAACAGTGACAGTCTTTGTATGAGAGAGTGGAAAGGAAGGTTCCCATATTTCACACTATGAGTAGCCCTAGAGGTAACACAAACATGTACTTGCAAAAATGGTGGTGTAATATGAGAAGGAGACAGAGGTTCATACAAGAGTGTTACAGAGCTAGATGAGACGATGAGGAGGGAAAGGAAGAGAGGGGGAATCTCTCAAATCTCTAATCTTTTCCATTGTTAAAACCTCCTATATGGGCTTTTCAGGGAGGGTGAGAGTTGCAGGAATACAGAAGTCTAAACATGAGAGCACTAAGGAGGCAAAGGGAAGCAATGCCTTCCCTGGTTCTTAGTGCTCAACCTCTCCCCTCTTCCTATCTGTACTCTGAGCATCCTAGCAGGCTCTCACAACCTGGTGAGTCTTCCTCCGAAGTGGAATTTAGGTCTGGCAAGCTAGAAGGCTTTTCACATTTATTAGCATAACATTGAACCTGTGAAAGAGTGATTAAGTGGTAATGAAGCCATTGACAGGGAAGTATATACTTCAAGTTTTTGAATTTATTGACAAACATAGCTATGCATTACTGTGCTATATTTACTGGACCTTAGCTTAAAATTTGCTTTAAATATTTCATTAGCTTGTTGCTGAAAATTATAAAATCACATCTCTAAAAATAATCCTTGCATAGATATTTAGATTCACTATCTGAGTATTCAGCATTAGACTTAAACGCTTGGATCTTCAGATATAGTTTTGAAAATAAATTTTTCAAAAGAATACCGTTATCTAAAATACACATTTTAATTACTATAGTAAAAACTTGCTTCCAAAGTCTTCCTGTCATTTCTATCCATCTTTGCTGTAATTTTTTCCTTCACCCCATTTTGAAGAGAGTCCTTAAAGGGACAACATCCCTTTTCTTCCTGATAGGAAAACTCATTTGTCCAGTTTTCTTTACTTCTATTTGATGAACTAGTTTTAAGAGAACCCTTATCCAAAATCAGAAACTTACTAAGATGTCATAGAATTATAGAACACTAGAACTGGAAGGGACCTTGAGAGGTCATCAAGTCCAGTCCCCTGCCCTCATGGCAGGACCAAGCATGGCCTATATCCTCCCTGATAGATGTCTGTCTAATCTGCTCTTAAAAATCTCCAGTGATGGAGATTCCACAACCTCCCTAGGCAATTTATTCCAGTGTTTAACTGCCGTGACAGTTAGGAAGTTTTTCCTAATGTCCAACCTACGCCACCCTTGCTGTAGTTTAAGCCCATTGCTTCTTGTCCTATCATCAGAGGCCAAGGAGAACAATTTCCCCCCCTTCTCCCTGTGACACCCTTTTTAGATACCTGAAAAGCACTATCATGAAAATCTTTTATTATTATAAAATAATAATATTATTGTCATATCATATTATTATTATAATATAAAATCCTTTGTTATACCTAAAATCTTTGGAAACATTTTTTTAACAGATGGTGAAATGTCATAAACATGTTTATTGTTACAGAAATCCCACAAAATAAATTAGTGTCCCTTTTTTTGAAAGCAATGAACTTTGTTATGAATACTACATTGTTTAAACACTAAATTGTTAACTTATTTAAAATAATGTCATTTTTTTCAGCGTGTTAAATATTTAGTAATCTGGAATGATTATTTTATGAAGGCTTAAGAGTACATTCAAGGAATAAAATCAGCTTAGAAATACTGATTAAGAAACTGTAAAACAGAGAAGAGCTGCACCATGTATTCCATAATATTTAATGTTGTATTCAGCAAGACAACTGACTAGCTCTTTCTACAAAGTTTTTGTGAATAAATCACTGACAAACTTGGCAAGGTATATATAAAAAGCCTGTGACTGACATTTTTATTCCCAAATTGAGTGCTTTTAATTAGGGACCTTCTGCATGTCTAGTCTTCAAAATCTGGCATGCAGTGAAAAACATACTCAATTTTCTTTACAAGTGTTTCTGATTTCCAAATGTCATTTGCTGTATTTGTGTTCAGGGATTTGGCTGGAAGGAGTGAATAGGGAGGAGGAGGGAAGAGAAGAGGGATACAGTGGGGTGTGTGTGGGGGTGAGGTCTGGGCAGAATGAGGGCTGGGCCTGGATACAGCAAGGGTGGAATATGAGCGGGGCCACAGGCTGGGGGGCTTGCCTCCCCAATCAGCAGCTTCACACACAGCCCGTGACAATTGCTCAAGATGGGCAGTTCAGAATCAGACATACTGTCCCCTCCTTGGATTCTGTTGCACCAAGTGGTTGGTGCAACACCAGAGCATTGTGCGTGTCTGAGGTCTGATGCCTTCCAGGTGACGGGAGAACACATGGCTTCATATTACCAGTTATAAAGTTCCTGGGGACTGGGGAGGAGTCCAGAACAAAGTGGCACTGTGCTCACAGCCGTACCTCTAAAAGATGGGAAAGGACAAGCAGGTATCTCTATCCTGGTGGCTCTCAACCTTTCCAGATGACTGCTCCTATTTCAGGAGTTTGATTTGTCTTGCGCACCCCTAAATTTCACTTCACGTAATAACTACTTGCTTACAAAAATCAGACATAGAAATTCAGTGTCACAGCACACTGTTACTGAAAAATTAACTACTTTCTCACTTTACTATATAAATATAAAATAAAGCAATTGGAATATAAATATCGTACTTACATTTCAGCTTATAGAATATAGAGCTGTATAAACAAGTCTGTATGAAATTTGTACTGACTTTGCCAGTGCTTTTTACATCACCTGTTGTAAAACTAGGCAAATAACTAGATGAGGAAGATCTCTGAGTATTCACCATAGTATGAATTTCCTGGGTTGAGAACATCTGCTCTAACCTAAGAGGCCATAGCATTAGGAAATAATTACTCTCACTCCATTTATTTGACATATTGATAATTAGGTTGTTTGCAAGGAGCCAAATTAAACCTGATGATGATATTTAGTGGCAAGGCCCACAGTTTAATTGCCATGGTAATTCCACTTGCTTGTGATGTGTACAAGCAATTAAGTGGCTATCAAAGAGGGCTATCTGTCCCTTGTGACAATGAAAAACTGATGGTGCTTTTGTATGCCACAAGCAGACCTTTGGTAGGGCAAAGCTGCTTTTCCACCTGTGTTATGTAACATTAACTTTTCAGGGTGGCAATACATGTTGTCTCTGAAACCCACCATTATATTTCTCTACTTCACACCACTTCAGCTCAAAGGCGCAGGAAAAATAATCAACTGAGATTTTTGTCAGTATAAAACCAGAGCTACCTCTAGACCTGTAGGGAGCCAAAACAAGTGAAACAAAATTATTTGAGGACCATTTCAGGTACAATGATTAATTCTGTTTATTAAAGAATCCCACTTAATTGGACAAAAGGCAATTGAATGGGACATCCTGATCAGGCAGTCTACCACACCAGAGTGTGTGAGCAGCACACTGACCTACAGTTAGCCGGGGGATCAGATTACTATGTGGATCTCCAATTGGCAGTTGGGCCCCAGGCACCCCCAGTACAGTAGTAGAGAGCTGGCCTTTTATCATTGGATGAGGCGATAGAGGGGTCAGCACAGACCACCCATCATTAACCATACAGATGGGGGCGCCATTTAAGCCTACAAAAGAAAATGAAGAGAAGGAAATATCCGTCAGTAACGCAGTGGAAGAAGCACACAAGAAAATAGTGTCTTTCACCTTGCAAAACACAAGGTGTTTTTACTGTTACTTTCTGTCAGAATAATACATCTGTAGGTGCGTGAGTTCTGCTGTGGCATACTTATATCAATTTTTGTCTTCTGCCCAAATAATACTGAATAGATTGCTGAAACATATGTTTATAGATCTCTGCTCTGCCACTCCAAGTGCCTCTGAGGGCTTTGGGGAGAATGCACCATGGTCTGGGCACAGCTAAGTGCTGACTGCTACCGAAGGCCCTGCCCCTTCCAGGTGTGTGGAGATAGCCCCCCATAGCTTCCCTCTGGGGCCCATGGTGGCTGTCAGCCCCAATGTTAGTGAGGAAATACAGCTTGGATGAATTACACTACAGCCTCTATCATCTTTAAACAGGAAGCCAGGCCTGGGATAAATTCCTCAAGGGTGTACATTGGAAACACACAGCTGGGATTATGTTACTTGGTTACTGCCTCATCTGGATGTCTGACATAGGCCTGGGATAGAGCAAAGACTTGCATGGGATTAACCTAAGAGTCTCAGGGTATGTCTACACAGCAAAGTTATTTCGAAATAACAGCCCTTATTTTGAAATAACTTTCCTAGTGTCTACACAGCCAAACCGCTATTTTGAAATAAATTCGAAATAGCGGAGCGCTTATTTCGAATTTGGTTAACCACATTCTATGAGGAATAACACCAAATTCAAAATAGCTATTTGAAATAAGTGCTGTGTAGACGCTTATTTCGAAATAGGGAGCCTCCAGTCTTCCCAGGGTGCCCTGGTGGCCACTCCAGCCTCAATCAAGAACACTTCTCTCCCTCCCCCCTTCCCCGGAGCCCTTAAAGGGGTTGACTCTGGCCACAGTGCCAAGCCTGCTAGCCCAGAGCAAGAAGTCACTGCCCCTGACCCAGTGGCCCCAAAACATGCGCCAGCAAGCCACTGGCAGCCAGCCTTCCACCACTCCCCAGGAGCAGTCTGCCAGCTCCCAGGAGCCTGCCAGGGCCCAAAGAAGGCGGGCACCTTCCTGGTCCAGGGCGGAGATCATGGACCTTATTCAGGTTTGGGGGGGATGCCCCCAATGTCCATGATCTCCACACTGGACGGAGGAACGTGGCCATCTATGGCAGGATAGCTGCCAGCCTGGCCACCAAAGGCCACATGAGAATCCAGGAGCAGGTTTGCATGACAATCAAGTTGGTCTGGCGAGACCCCCACCCCTGAGCCCTGAGCTTCCCCTCCGCCGCCTTCTCCTTGCTTCCCCCTTCCAGTTCCCTCCTCCCAGGTTTCCCCCTCCCCTATCCCACTGTCTCTTCTCCCCTTTCCCGTCTCACCAGAGTTTCATTCCCCTCCCCCAGTTTTGTTAAATAAAGAGAGTTTGTGTTCATGAAAATACGTGTATTTTATTTGACATCAGGAAGGAGGCTTAGGGAAGGGTAAGTGAGGGAGGAATGAGGCACAAGCCCCCAGTGGGGCAGACCAGGGAGGCTCTTAGTGTTCCTCAGGGTGGAAGCTCTCCCGCAGGGCCTCCTGGATACTGACAGCCCCCCAATGGACCTCCCAGATGGCAGCCTGCAGAAAGTGCAGCCAGGCTCGCAGCAATGCATCCAAGAGAAGCATCAGAGTGCCCAGGGGCAGCTCTGGCTCCATGTTGCAGAGTGCTGTGGTGAGGGCACCCAGCGCATGCAGAGACAAAATGCTTTGCTGTCCCTCATTGAGGTAGACAAGCAAGCAGGGAAACCTGAGAACTGGCTGTCCGGGCGGGGTCCCTTTAAGCACAAACCTCATATAGCCTCAGGCAGCAGCCCCACACAGTAAGTCCTGACCTGGTGCCCTGCCGGAACTGGTTCCAGCCAGCCTTAAATGTGATTCAGAGTCCACTCACTGTGGACGTGCTATTTCGAAATAGCAAAACGCTATTTCAAAATGCATTTTGTGTGTAGACGTGTTATTTCAAAATAACACTGTAGTGTAGACATACCCTCAGATCATCACTGCTGCTTAGAAGAACTACCAGGGTAACACTTACTCTATAAATATGTTGTCAGAGTTCTGCTACTTCCCCCATATCTCACTGTGCTCTGCTGTCAGACCTGTACTGAAACATTTTATGAATTTCCTCCTATCCCATCTAACCCTGCTCCTCAGAAGAGAAAAGTCACATCAATACCTGCCTTCAACCCATGTTTCTTGCCCCATCCTACGGCCATACCTTGCAAGTGGGTCACTCGGTGAGGATGGGGGTTGTGCCGTGAGAAGAAAGAATGGTGACTGAGGTTGCCAAAGCGAGAGTTGTTCTTCGACTGGGGTCTCATGGCCTCCATACTAAACTGCAGTGGCATGTTCAGGGCCGCATGTGTGAGTTTTCCTGCAAATGCTGTGATGTCTTTTCCTTTGAATGGGCCAGCAACTGGGCTCCTTAGCATCTCCATCTTCTCCTTAGCAGATGTACACTTGGTTTTGGAAAGAAAGAGAAGAAAACCACTTATCATCGTGCAATCACGTATTATGAAAATGTCTGTATCTTAAGTGTGAGCCAGGTTCATGAAAGTAGAGTTTCCAAGTAGGCACTGAACTTCAGTACAGATTATCTTTCCTCTCATGGATTTCTCCTCAAATCCATTCTGACCAGGCAGAGAGATCCACTATCACTTATTCTTTTCCCCCACTTCTCAAGGGATTGCAGCAAACTGATGGAATCCTTTTCCTTATTGACACTGGAACAGACTTGGTTAGAATGTTTTATTTACAGAAAAGGAAATCTTGGATCTGAATTTTGTACCCACCTGAAATGCACTTAATGGTCTAGACTAATTTACTGAGAAAAACAGATTGAACAAAATAGTTGAGTGAAGAGAAGCTGATAGGAAAGCTTTCTGTGTGTGTTGAAAAGATCTGTTCTGTATTTATGAGAACACCTTGTGACCTGTAGGCCAGCAAGAGCTCACATGAGTCTGAAATCTGAGAAGCAAGCCCACACAGACGCCCTTGTTTCTGCTGACATGCAGAAAAAGGAGCCATCCAAGGAAATCCCCATGAAAAGAACTGAGAACTTTCCCAGCTGGCAGCTTTGGAGGTGACTCAGAGTCATGGCTGAGACAGACAAGGTTAGGAGTTCAACTTTATCACAGCACTGCGATCAGATTCTCAAGACTGACAAAAAAATCATCTACTCAGAGGTTTGTTAGCTGGCTTTGCTTCATCAGATGACACTTGGCTTTATCAGCATCAACACTAATAAAAGGAGCAGGAGCCATTGTAGCACCATGCTCATGTTTCACTGCATTCCTTAGCTAGAAAACACATCAACCCATTTCATTGGAGTGTTTGGCTCAGTATTCTGCTTCCTAGATCAGAAGCAGAGGAGACCCAGGAACATGTGTTCTGATTTTTCTTCACAAACATCTTAACTCAGCTCTGATCTTTTTGAAGTGCAACACAACAGACCATTTCAGGTCTCCCCACATACTTACCGGTAGCAGCCCACTGAGGGCACATCTACATTTTGAAATAACGTGCTTCTTATTCCAACTTCTATAACTCTCATTTCACAAGGAGTAAGGGAAATTGAAGGAAGAGTGTTTTTCCTTCAACTTCCTGCCGTGTAGATAGCACCTAAAGCAATTAACATAGCTGAAGTTGCGTATCTTAATGTGACTTTAGCCTGCAGTGTAGACGTGCCCTGAATGACATAGCGCTCTATGCTTTGGCAGGAACAAAGCTTTCAAAATGCTCTCTGATGCAGCAGGAGAATAATATGCAGTGAAGTTTTCTTTGGACTGGCATGTCTACACTATCGAGAAGATTGAACGATTGGAGGTCAATCTTCTAGTGTTCAATTTAGCAGGTCTAATATAGACCCCAAAATTGAACTTTGAGGGCAGCGCCCACAGGTGACCTGTACACCTCATTCTGTGAGAAGTAAGGGAAGTTGATGGGAGCATGTGCTTCTGTTGGCCTCCTAGGGTACGTCTAAACTACATGGCTCCGTCGATGGAGCCATGTAGATTTGTTCCGCGATTTAAATGATCGCGGCTTCATTTAAATTTACATGGCTGCCGCGCTGAGCCGACAAACAGCTGATCAGCTGTTTGACCGCTCAGCGCGCTAGTCTGGATGCTCCTCTGCCGACATCAAAGCCCTTTGTTGGCAGCCCCGGTAAACCTCGTCCCGCCTCAGCGCAGCAGCCATGTAAATGTAAATGAAGCCACGATCATTTAAATCGTGGCTTCATTTACCTTTGCCTATGTGTTTAATCTACATGCCTCTGATGACAGAGGCATGTAGTCTAGACACAGCCCTACTGTGTGGACACTGCAACGGCTCAGCTTAAGGTAAGCCAACTTCAGCTATTCATTTTGTGTAGCTGAAGTGACATACCTTAAACTGACCTGCCTGGTCTAATATAGACCTGGCCGAAGTGTTTAGCAAGCCCATACAGTATTTCAAATAGGGGCTGTTAGACGCTGAGTAGAGCTGAATGAATGCTAGATTTTGCCTGAATATCCATTCCGAGCCTTTCTATAATTGCTTTACATGAATGCAAGTTTACTGACAGGCATGTCTGTAGAAATGGCATGTGTTCAGGCAACTCTTGTAGAAAGCAAATTTGAATTCATTACCATGAGTTTTAGCTCCAGAAAGCTGATTCTAAGCATTATGCTTATCCAATCAGGGAATGGAAATGTATGTTTTCTGGGCAAAACTTGGAGTGTTGGGGAAAAGATGGTTTAGAGCCATCTTTGTATTCCCTATTGGGCCAGGAGCATCCAGAGGACAATTCATCTCCTGCTGTATGTATAAGTCCCCTAGTTGGCTGTTCTGCTGTCTGAGAATTACCAACATGCCTCTTCCCCCTGACATGGGCCCTGTCTTTGGAGCAGGGCATAACGAGGTGCATACAACTGGCTACTCTGCTTCTATACCAGCCTAGTATTCATCTACAAAAAGGGAATTCCCAGTAATCCTCCTTTATGCCAGGAGCAGAGTAAAAGCTTAACTATAGAAACTCTAGCCATAGGCATCCAAATAAAATAGCTCACTCTGAAAGCACTGCACAGTCACAACAAATTGCTCATAAAGAAGCCATAGATCAAGGAACATCAACAGAAATTACTCAGTGGATAATTTCGTACAGCAAATACAGCTCTGAAATTTTTTTTCTCTTTTTCAAACAAAGCGGGAACAGAAGACAAAATGAAATTCATTTTGAATAATTTGTCACAAATGAGTCACCCAGGTTTAGTCCTCAGAATGGATGCTGCCTCTGTAGCCAGTCACCTATGGTTTCAAAATGGAAACCCAAATCTGGCTCTTTAATGGAATGTCACTCAGTGTTATAACAGCACACTGTCACTTGAATTCGGCTTATGTCCCTGCACAGGACATCTGGTGTGTGCAGCTTCATTAGCTAACACACTAAGTTTCAAGCAGAATGTTTCATTTGTCTGCCTGATGAAGATGGGCCCAGCAGCAATGTTCCCTCTAATTTTTTCCATCCACATGCAGAATAAATTTTATGTTCGCCCAGGCATGTGCGGATGTGCACTACCAATAGACCAGTGTTTCTTAAACTTTTTAAGACCGAGGAACACCAAACAATAATTTTTTTTATGGGGAACACCAAGGATTTTTTATTGAAAAAAAAAAAGAGGGAAAAAGGGTTAGAGGAAAAGTTATTGAGGAAAAAAAAGGATTGAGGGAAAGGTATTGAGCAAAAAAAAATTACCTTTATGGGTGGCCATTTTGAATTCTGTTGTGCTCTGTGGCACACCTCCAACTGCCTCGTTTAAGAAACACTGCAATAGACATACGTGCTGATGGCTGTTAATGCTGTGGGCTCTCTCCTAGGTGGCTGCCCAAGTGCTTAGCTTCCAGGGAACACTGGCCAACAGACTTTCCTCACTCTTAGTCACCACTGAGACACCCATCATTACCCCATATGACCATTTCTAGTTAGCAGTCCCAGTCTCTCATTTACTGTTTGCAGGGGTACAAGCTATTGTTTCCCCACTTGCTCACTTAGGGCATTGCTACTTAACTGTTTCTTCCACCTAAAGGGAATGGCACTTGGGTACTTACTCCAGCTGCTGAAGAACAGGTTCTCAGTTCTTTGTCTCTATTGCATTTTAATAATTCTATGAGAATACAGAAAAATTGGTGATTATTCCAGCATACCTGGCCACATAGTCCAGCTGGGAATTCAGACACATAGATCTATATACAAGAACTATATCTGCACTACACCTACTCCTAATATTCAGCAGCACCCCAACAATACAATCACATGTAAATGGTGCCTTAAGTTCAGCCAGTCTTCACTAGCCATCACTGAGGTGACACCTTAACAAGTCACTGTGAGTTGTTTAACTAATGTTCATTTCATTAAATCCTCTGAAAACAATCATTTCCCCAGTAACTTGGGACTGGTTCTTTCCTTTGTGAAACAGACTTGTGGCAGTTTCAGACTACTGTGATACATCTACCATATGAAATCAAATTGTGAGCTGTATACATATAGTTGGTTTCCCGGCTAAGGTGTAGAGGATTGACATGTGTTGAACCTTAATTAGATGACCTAATACATCTTTTCCATCCCTCAACTCTATAACTCTTTGAAAACTCCTTTCCTCATGAAAATGTATTTTAATTCAGATGAAACCTTCCTAATAGCAGCATGCCTAGAAAGCATAGTAAGGATGATCTTGTGGGTAAGCCACTAAACTGCAATTTGGCAGATAAGACTCAAACTGTAGCTGTGACACAGATTTCTTGTGTGACTTGAGGCAAGACACTTAAGCTCTCTGTGATTCAACTTCTCCATTGTAAAATGAGGATGATGGTATTTATATTCTCCCATGGTTTGTTTATATTATCTATGTATATACATTGTATGCTATTCAGAGCAGGAACTGGTTCATACTATACATATAAGTACACAGCAGGTAGCACAATGGGGCTCTGATCTTGGTTGGGGCCTCCATGTCCAATGGCAATGCTAAATAATGCCAGAAGGGATGCTGCTGAACATGCAAATAGTCAGCTCCAAGAAACAATACTAGCCCTGCTGAAGCCAATGGGAGTTGAGAATATTGAGCACCTCATGGGATCATGACAGAGGTCTGTAAAATCATGACTGGTGTGGGAAAAGTGAATAAGGAAAAGTTATTTACTTATTCCCACCATATAAGAACTAGGGGTCACCAAATGAATAGGCAGGAAGTTTTTCTTCACTTGGTGCATAATCAACCACTGGAACTCCTTGCCAGAGGATGAGGTGAAGGCTAGGACTTTAACAGGGTTCAAAGAAGAGGTTAGGTTCATCAATGGCTATTAGTCAGGATAGGTAGGAAGGGTGTCCCTAGCGTCTGTCTGGAAATGGGTGACAGGAAAGAGATCACGGGAGGGTTACCTGTTGGGTTTCCTTCCTCTGGGGCATCTGGTATTGGCCACTGTCAGCAGACAGGATTCTGGGATAGATGGACCTTTGGTCTGATCCAGTATGGCTATTCGTACGTTCTTATGATCACGTACAAGATAAGAAAAAATACAAACAATAATAACCAATGTAATGCATAAGAGTGGACACTCGAATGTGAGAGCTATAAAAGCAGAAGCATTAAGTTTCAGACTTTGGAAATTACAAGGCTACCTACCAATGTTCCCTCTAATATTTTCCATCCATGAGTGGAATGAGTTTTGTCTTGTGCACCAATATTGAGGTCATGCGTGCTTGTTTGGATGTGTGCCACATATCATCCAAGTTATTAATATTTTTTATATATTTTTTAAAATGCTCTGGAAGAAAGGATACTAAAATAAGGGATAATTAGCAAAGTGTGTGACTTTAAATGTTTATTTATTTAATGTGAAGTCAAATAAAAAAATTAATGTTGCAAAATTTTCAATAGCCAACTTTCTCTGTTTACAGCCCTCTACTAGACCCTGCCCCAGCTGGGCTTCCTCCTCAATTAAATCTGGTTCTCCTTTCAGAGAACTATGTGAAATGGCTTTTCAGAATAACATTTCTGAACTTGTGTAGAGTATCCTCTGCATTGCACACCTGGACAACAGCTTATTTGGATCAGAGGTGAAGTCAATCCAGTGTCTCCTCATCACTGACCTGAGTTCTTTTTATTTAGACAGTTCTTTTTATTTATTATCAATAAATAGCCAACTTAGAAAATGTAGTTAACCTGGAATGCTTGCTCTTCACACAAGACATAAATCAGAATTAAAGCTCTCTGATGAATCAAATGCATATTTCCCTTGTCTGACTTGATCAACTCATAAGCATTCTTCGAAGCTTAAATGTCTATTAATACAAAAATGTATATGAAAGGTGACAAATAATATTCTTTGCTTTATGCTAGAGTGCACAGGCTGTCCAGCAGTAACTCGGACAGCTCTGTGTCAGGATGGCCTGTACATTCAGGACTCATGAGTAGCTGGACAGGGCAAGTAAATCCTGTGCAGCCTTCCTCCTTCAAACTCTCTAAGGTCCAGTGTACCTTTCTTTTCACACAGAGGTAGCCTGGGACCAAAGCTTGTCCCTACATAGTTGCATAAACCAAGTCTTCTTTCTAGAAGCTCCCTCCCCAGCTTCCGAAATTGCAGAGGGCTGCTGTTTCAAAGGGGAAGTTACAACTGTAGTATTTGAACAAAGAAGAACAGTAAAAACCAGAAACTGGCCAGTTATTAAATATATATAATGGGCCTACTCACCATGTACACTGCTTCCACAGATTGGGGAATGAGTCCCCCAGCTGTACCCAGGGCTCGGAGGGAGACTTGCAAAGTTACTTCACTTGTGTTAAAAAGTCTGTTTACTTTGTGCCTGATTATGTTCAGGTTGCTAGGTTACACTTTTGGTGGCAGCAGCCAAGCCCCCTGCCTTCCTTCTGCCAGTGTTCCATTTCCTCTCCTCCTCCATCCCCCCAAACAGGGCACCCAGCTGCTCTTTACCTGACTAATCTCATTCTCAGTTGCTTTCCATAGTTACATTTCCAGGCTTTCCATGACAGAGGCAGGTAAGATCAACTGGGTGTGTCAAAGTGGGAAAAGCAAATTCCAACACTGTATGTTTGACGCTTAAGCACTCCTGGACCTAAACAAGCCCACAGCCAAACTGCATATGCCTCCTCTAAGACAGATAATCTTTAGAAAGGACTAGGCTACTTGAATTCCTAATGAGATTTGTTTTACATTCTGGTGTTAATTTTCTCTTCTGGGATCAGTGGCATAATACATAGTTCAATTCTGTAGGGGGAAAATGTGTGTCTTGATATCAGGAATGATCTTAAATCATTTCCCTGCTCATTTAAAAACCCCAATGATGCAAAGTGTGATACCTTTTACTCCAGAATTATTAACGCACATATACATTGCATATAAATAGGAAGGCAGATATTTAAACAGGTGAAGCACATTCTGCCCTGGACACCTGCCACTATGGAGATGCTATATCAATTGAACCAAAAAATGCACAAATGATTAATACACCCCACTGCCTTACCTGCATTTATACAAGCTTAGGATAAGATTTACATCAGCTAGCAATCTTTATGCTTCACTTCATGAGATGATAATCAGCTGCAATGAGCAAGACATTCCCCTACCACCTCAACACAAACACGCCACACAGCTATAATATGGGTATTTTCACCTTTCTCTGCAGCATTCATTAGAGGTTCCTTCTAAGGAGAGAACACAGAACTAGACGGAATGTAGATCTTTCTTGTGTTTCTCCTGAAACATTGTTAACCCATTGTATGAATATATATTGACATTCATCTATTTTGCGTGCTACTAGTGTGTTAAAGTACGCCAGTTTGCACCATAGGCTCAGTAATGCATTCTTGCACATTAAGCTTTTATTACATGTACAGTGAAAGCTTTGTTAACCGGCATTCTGTTAACTAGAAAACTTTGTTAAACGGCATAGCCCCCAGCCACAATACTGTCACATCTTCAGTCGCACAGGCCTGGCTTGGTTTACCATGATTAGCTTAACAATTTTTTATTTAAGAAGTACTAATCATCTTTAACTCAAAACAGAAATGTGAGATCAACTGCCTCACACTAAAAAATTATCAATATTAAAAACTTGAGTTTTACTCTTATTGTCCATTGGATTTTTCTAGGTTGATGGGACCCTCAGATAACCGGAATTTTTAGATAACCGGAATGCCCTAATCCCCGAGCATAGAGCAGGGCAGCCATTTAAATTTAAATGAAGCCGCGATTATTTTAATCATGGCTTCATTTCCCTCTGCCGATCTGGCTAATCTACATGCCTCCGTCGACGGAAGCATGTAGTTTAGACGTACCCAAAGATCAGAAGCCGTTAGCTGAGATATAGGATGTCAGAGCCTCTCCACACAGTCTATCTAAATGACATTAATTTAAAATAGTGTAATATCAGGCCGCTAAGAAGGAGACCCTGTCCTAATGGTGTGCAATATCACCAGATAAGGAAACAGATGTTAAGAAGGTTAAAGAAAACTTAGTTTGATAGCATCCTGTCTGACAGGAAACTATTTATTAATAGTTGGGGTTGCAAAATCTTCATTTCATTATTGCTCTGACATTATGTTTTCCACTTCCCTATTGTTCATTTGCGTGATCTCTGTCTGGATCTTTACTTGTTTCTGTCTGTTGTATAAGTGTCATCACTGTCCGCTTCCCAGGGGGTGGGGTGGGGAGGGAGACCAGGGACTGTGCACGTGGGCCTTGCTTACCACAGATCACGCAGCAACCTGTGCACGTGCAAGCACATGCCATGCCATCTTTGGGCAGGTGGCTCCAGCTGCATGCCACACAGGAGCTGTGGCCTGATAGCCACACACGTGTGTGAAGAGACCTGACATGCTCCTGATCCCGGGGTGGGACACAGCAGGATGCCCTCCCTTCACAAGCCTCCTCCAACATATCCCCTCCCACCTCACCCACACTATACACAGCACAGGGGCATGGGTGCGGTCTCGGGGCAGCTCCCCCTCCCGGGGATAGCCGGACATTCCGACCATGGCCTCTGTGTAAGCACAGCAGCTCTGACAGTGAAGGACACGGTCATCCTCACCTTGCGCGGGGCTGGGTTTCACCCACTGTGTCCCCAGGGAGAACTGACCACTTCTCTTCTTTCTCCACGGCCGCACCAGCTGCACGTGCAGGGCGTACCACCCTGCCACATGCTCCCGCACCCGAGGGCTCCACAGGATGACTTACAATATGGCAGGGGTCCCGAGAGCAGCAGCTAGGGGCCCGGCAAGCCCTGACCCGCATAATGGAGCAGCAGGCACAGGAAGAACAGGAGTTCCAGAGGGAGCTGCTCGCCCAAAGTCGTGCCATCTGTACCCATCTGCAGACCCTGGTGCAGAGCGTGCTGCCTCGTGCCGCTCCAGCACCTGCTGCCCCCCCAGCTACCATTCCGCCTCCCACTTCTCCCTCCTCAACCTCCTCACCCTCCTCCTCAATCTCCACATCCCCCACCTCAACCTCCACACCCTTCTCCGCACCACCCCGGGGACGCCGAGGCCCCCGCATCCGCCGTGCTGGGAGATATGTGGCCTGATGAGACCCCCACCCCTGAGCGCTGAGCTTCCCCCTTCCATCTCCCTCCTCCCAGTTTTCCCCCTTCCCTCTCCCACCCTTTCTCCTCCCCTCTCCTGCCTCTTTTCCTCAGTCTCCCCGGAGTTTCATTCCCCTCCCCAGTTTTGTTAAATAAAGACAGTTCGTGTTTATGAAAAAACGTGTCTTTTATTTGACATCAGGAAGGGGGGCTAGGAGGGGTAAGTGGAAGGACGTGAGGGAAAATGGGGCATGAACCCCTGGTGGAAAGGACCGGGTGACTCTGAGGGCTCCTCGGGGTGGACGCTCTCCCGCAGGGCCTCCTGGATCCTGACAGCCCCCCGATGGACATCTCAGATGGCAGCCTGCAGCAAGTGCAGCTGGGTTGATGGCAATCACCCCATGAGATGCACCGGCGTGCCCAGAGGCAGCTCTGGCTCCATGTGGCCGAGTGCTGCAGTGTCCCAAGTGTGGGCACTCAGGGCACTCCAAGGTAGGACTGCTTTGCTGTCCCTCATTGAGGTAGACAAGGAAGTGGGGAACCCTGAGAACTGTCTGCCTGGGGTGGGGGTAGGGTCCCTTTAAGCACAGAGCTCAATTAGCCTCAGGCAGCAGCCCCACACACTAAGTCCTACCCTGATGCCCTGCCGGCACTGGTTCCGGCCAGCCTTAACTTCGGTTCAGGGTCCACTCAGTGTGGACCCGCTATTTAGAAATAGTAAAACGCTATTTCAAAATAGTTTTTGTGTATTGATGTGTTATTTCGAATTAGCTTAATTCAAATGAACTATTTTGAATTAAGTTAACTCTGTAGTGTAGACAAATTAACGCTGTAGTGTAGACATACCCTCAGAGGGGTAGCTGTGTTAGTCTTTAAAAACAATGAGCAGTCCTGTGGCACCTTAGGTTATAACTCACTTTATTCCAAAATAAGAAAGTCCATATTTATACTACAAGCTGTTATTTTAATATAATGTCAAAATAATGTCAAGCTGGAGGGCTTCTTACTTAACTCCTGTAACCCTGTTGTATGAGGAGTAAGGGAAGTCGAAGGAAGAGTGCTCTTTCTTGGACTTCCTGCTGTGTAAATAACATCAAAAATTGAAATAAGCTATTTCAACTTAAGCTACACAATTGATGTAGCTCAAGTTGTGTAGCTTATTTCGGCTTTCGCCCTGGTATGTAGATGTACCCTGAGAGACTAAGGGTATGTCTACACTGCACAGCTATTTTGGGAAACTGGCGGTATCCTGAAATAGCTTCCCCATGTCTACACAAGCCACCTGTTATTTCAAAATATTTTTCAAAATAATTGGCATGCTATTTTGGCATCCCGATGACCCTCGTTCCACTAAAGGTAAGGGATGTCTTGAAATAGCACGATATTTCGAAATTTGGTGCTGTGTAGAGGCACTACATTTCAAAATAAGCTATTTCAAAATAGATTGGAAATAAGATATGCAATCTGCGTAGTGGAAATTGTGTATCTTATTTTGAGTTTGGGGTGCACCTCAAGTTTACCACTGCTTCAGACACTTCCCCACTCCCCCACTACCTTCTTCAACATGGGTACATCTACACAGCAACATTATTTTGAAATAACTAGCATTATTTCAAAATAACTTAGTCCATCTGCATCTAGAAAGCCGGCAGTTATTTCGAAATAATGTTGAAATACTGTCAAGCTGGAGGGCTTTTATTCCGACTCCTGTAACCCTCATTGTACTAGGAGTAAGGAAGAGTGCTCTGTTTAGAAATGAGTGCTGGAAAAAAGCTATTTTGAAATAAGCCATGCAATTGGCGTACTTCAGCAGCTCTCAGGCTATGTCTAGACTGCAGGCTTCTTTCAGAAGAAGCTTTTCTGAAAGAGCTTTTTTAAAAAAAGGCTTCATAGAAAGAGGTTTACCAATGTCGGGAAAACCCCTTTGTTCTTTTGATTTTTTTTCCGAAAAAACGTGATTGCAGTGTGGACACAAGTGAAGTTTTTTTGGAAAAACGTCCATTTCCAAAAAAACTCTGCAGTTGGTACTGCATGGTGCTGCATGGTACTGTATATGAGCTATTATAGGTTATTGTGTGATGATATAGATTTCCTCTCTAAAGTAGAACAAAGAAATAGTCATAATTTGATTCCTCATATGCCAGGTTCAATTGTGTCCCAAGAGTAAAATTTCAGATAATTGTTTAGTCAGTTGCAGATGCACAGTGAAAGCTTGTTTTTGTAAATCTACCAAGTTTCTTAAAAGGGCAGTTTAGAGAAGCACAATACAAATAGTGAATCTTTGTTTCACATAAATTGGTGGCATAGTGGTTAATATT